GATACAATTCAAATCCCTGGGGACATCCCCACAACCCAGTTACGCTTCTCCTCCGGCAACGGCCCAGTCTCCAGAACTGTTCTGAAGACGCCTCTTCGTGATGCCCTCCCATCGGAGATCCCCGTCATCAACATCTCTGGGATTTTCAGCGACTCGAAAGACGCCCGCCTCAAAGTGGCTCGCGAGATTCGAGACGCCGCAACGAACAGCGGGTTCTTCTACATCGAGAATCATGGCATACCACTCGACATACCGGAGACGGCCTGCGAGGAGCTCCGCGGGTTCTTTCGGCAGCCTCAAGAGATCAAAGAACGCGCCCACGTGAGCCAATCTAAATACTACAACGGCTACAAGCCGGCGAAGTCGCAGCGCATCAACCCGTTCGAGTCGGTCGACGTGCGTGAGACTTTCTCCTGGACTTATGATCCGAGGTACGACCCTTCGGTTCCCGACCCGGCTGCCATTCCGCCTCATATCGCCCGGTACCTGAGATGTGAGGACTTCCACTGGGAGGCTACGGCCAACCGGCCTCGACTGAAAGAGGCCATCGTGAATTATTGGCGCTCATGCCTTTCCGTCGCGCGGGCGCTCGTACGGTGCTTTGCGCTGTCACTCGACCTACCCGAGGACTTTTTCGCGGAGAAGTTCACACATCCGGATGCCGCCCTGGCGCTGAACTACTATCCCCCTTTGCCCGCTCCACCGCCGCAAAAGGCATCGGCGGAGCAAGAGGAGGCAGAGGTCTCTATCGGCTCGCATACGGATTTTCAACTCTTCACGATGCTATGGCAGGATAATAACGGAGGGCTCCAAGTGTTGAATCGTCAAGGCCAGTGGATCAACGCGAAGCCCATCCCCGGGACATTCGTCGTCAACATGGCGGATTACATGCAGCGCATCACGAACGATCGATACGTGAGTACAGTACACCGCGTCCAGAACTATAGCGGTAAAGAGAGGGTCAGCATGGCTTTTTTCTTTGGGTTCAATCTGAATGAGAGCTGTGGCGTGCTCGATAGCTGCGTTGCCGAGGGCGAGGAGAAGAAATATGACGAGGTTAGGTGTGAGGAATGGGTTCAGAGACGTGTGAAGGCGATGCATAGACAAGGCGAGTCCTCTGGCAAATAAATACCATCGATAACGCTGATTGAGGCTTCTGGTCTACTGCGTTAGCCTTCGAAAACTCATTTAGAATGAGCCTAGAGGTCATAAACATGATACTTAGCTTTCATCATATAGATGAAATAGAAACACCTGCTTGTACGAGAACTGGAATATCCTATGCTGCCGGTTGTTTCCTCAAATAAGTGCTCATTTTGTCTGCTATCACAAAAAAGGCTCCCCTTCTTTCACTGCTGTTGAGAATATCACTATCTTTTATAGGTCGCTACCATTTTTTGATAGTATCCGGACAGCGAGCCTCTCTATTTTGCAGCCCCTGATAGAAAGAGTGGCATTGTGTGATACCGGGGCATCATCCTATGTTATACCATTTCATAGCATATGTGATAAGCCCAATGAACCTTGTAGGAGTCTTTATACAGCATATAGGCCCAATCCATTTCCTCCGTACTCTGACCCTTCACGCCAGCGCACGTGCTGCTGGGAAGTTGACGAGTATACTGGCATACATAGTAAGGCAAAAGAGGCCCTGCTGTGAATAGGGTCGAAAATAGCCGCATTTCTACGCAAGGCGCGAACTTTACAAGATGTCTGTTCCATTGAACAGTGTTGGCCATCTCGTGATGTCGAATTTTCAAAATTCGATTGGTTGCAAGGCGACTGTGCCACAGATGCATGCGGCGCGTATCTTACAGGGAGCGTATACCGTAAGTCTAAGTGTCAGCTTTGGTTAGGCAACAACAATTTATTCACTTTGAAGGTCTTTCGCTTTCTCATTTTGAGCTGCGCTGTTCAATTTGTTTTATTTCCTAACACCCCATTCCTCGAAAGCAGTCCCTCCATCTCCGTGAGCAAGATGACGCTGTACACCATGCCGAACTGGCTTAGAATGTGCGTATTATTGAGATTCTAGACTGTGTCACTCACTCGCTCGTATTATCATTCATTTATTCATCAGATAGAATTGACTAACTGACAAACCGAATAACCCCCGTCATAGTTTCTTGTTGATCCTAACCCGCTTCACTTTCCTACCCCAGGTTCTAGCTCTCCTCCGCCGCCGCGACGTATCTGGCATAAGCATCTACTATGTGTTGTTTAACCTTGTCGTGTCAACGGAGCTATTCACGCTCTCCTTCTTCTTCGTCACGAATCAGGCTGAGGGCTCCGAGATCTTCGTCCACGATCCACCCGACGTAGGCGACTGGTTAAACCTGGCCCAGTTCACGGATGTCTGCGCTTTGTGGCTTCTCATGTGTGTGCCTACTTATAATTAACAAGTCAATTTATTTAATAATATGGAAAAGTAATGACGACTAACTGCTTCCTCGCTTCACCTTCATTTAGCTTCGTCCTCTCCATCTACTTCTCTCATCCTGAAAAGCGGTGGCAAAACGCTACCGTCGTAGCATTATACACATCCTACCTTCTCATCTCAGTCTTACCGGCTTTTCTCAACGCTTTGCTTGCCTACCACCACCATGACTCCCCGAATGCGGATCGGTGGTTCGCGGCCCTCTTCCACGGCTCTCACACCCTGTTCCTCGCACCCCTGATTACACTACTCGCCGCCGCCGCTCTGCCAATTCAGGTGCGCACCATTTTGGCTCTGCCTCGAGGCTCCGGTACCGGGGCTCTGAGTGTACCGACGCTCGCCGCGCAAGCCGTAGTCTTCGCCGTGGTAGGGGCGACGTGGTGGCCCGGTCGGCTCGTATTTCCAGAGGATCTCGGCTCCCCAGTCACATATTTCAAGGCATGGTACAGTTTGGTCGGCTTCGTACCGGTGGATTATGCGGTCTTCGCTCTGGCGCAAGCTGTGCTATTTTTTGTGGCCGTATGGTGGTCGCACCGACCGCGTAAAACTGATGGCTGTCTTACCGCTGATGCTGGTGAGGGGGAGCCGTTGCTGTCAAGGTGACAACAGGGAGGAGTGAATGAATAAGAAGGATCGACCAGCACTCAAATGGAGGACGTGTAGGGTCCTCTGGAAAATGATAGTATTTAAGAGAACAAGAAGTCAACGTATTTCAAGCTACCGTGGATGTACTCTATTCAGTTACCTATATGGGTAGATTATGTATAGGCTCGGATTAGATAGACACATGTGCGTGATCGGCTAAGTCGGTCAATATAGAGTAGAATCCAGTAAGAAAGGGACAGAAAAAAAAATGGCTTATATGGTAGAGTCTTCAAGCATTTCAGAATCCTCATCCGCATTCATGACCGTAGATTCCACAGTCTCCGAACTCGGCATAACGACCATGGGCCGTCCATTGTTATCTAGTGGTTCTACGGCCGTGTCACGTACATAGAGAACCGTGACGACGGTATCCCTGTGCTCGAGAGTCTTGCGGCCCCAGTCTCACCAGTCCACGACAGCGCCATGGAAGGCGTACCTGTAGACATCGCCGGGCGAGGCATCGAGGGGCAGGATACTCCATTCTCTGTCCTCCGAGCATCGCTTCGTCGTCCACGACTTGCCAGGATCCAGCGTCACGAAAGAATTATCCACATCGTCGTCGCTGTAGTCCTGCGCGACGCGTTCCGTAACGCGTGGCCGGTCGGCCGAATCGTAACCCCAAGGTCCAGTGCCAACATGCTCGCCCAGATCGCATTGATTCCACCTGGTGCTGCCGGCCCTACGCCGATACGCGTGAAACCCTTCACCCAAGCCGCATGGGGCCGTCACAGCCAATGTGTGGAATGTCACGGGTCGTGCTCCTACTGTCGTTATAGTTCCGGGAGGCTCCCCTGAGATACCCAGGACACCATCGTAAGTGACGCGGACAGTTACCTCGAACTTTTACATGAGCGTTAGCGTTGCGGGACATTCCCGTCTGACGGTGAAGACGGGCCTCTCAAGGCCACGGCATGAGGCATTAGAGTTATCCTTCTGGGGAGGTTCAACATCCGCGGGTATGCCTTGCGTGCCCTGGGGCATCCCGGCCTCGACGCCAGCGTCAGCGGTCATTTTAATTTAGCGATAATATGGGGTGCTGAAGAAGGATATTGTTTGTGATGGGATTAAAATCTCTACGTAAAAGATGTGCGCGCAGATGTAGAAGTGTAACACATCAGATCGATGATCTCTACACGCCGTTGCTGTTGTATCTGCTGAACAAGAAAGGACTTTCTCGCTCTGGGTTCCTACGAGAGTGGCCGTGAAAGACCATTTCGAGGGGAGATGGGCCACTATATCGTGACAAGGGACCCCACAGATGGGAACTTTAAAACTAATGGTTGTGGTAGGTAGGTAATCACCTGAGCTGAAGGGGAGTCAGTCCGACGATGTATAAGGGGTAGATTGCGTGTATACCACCAATTTTCAGTGTGACACTACTGCATGTTGAACTAACAGCCCTGTCCGGAGGTCACATAAGGTTGGCTTCGTCTAAGTCTAGCGGATAGGACAACTCTATTCATATATCACGATACAATACAAGGTACATCAAACGGCCCAATTGCCTGGCCCTGAGCTCACCACTGACATACCTTGGGTAGCAGTTATAGGAGCGAGTGTGAATCTACTGCGTATCGGCCTGTCACCCTACAAGCATTTTGAAACGTACTATTGCGAAAATGTTATACTCTTGTTATTATTCAAGTTTGAGTGAGAGCTATAATAGCAATTCTGATTTATAATCGCATTTTTATTTACATAAGTTGAGGGTCCTGGGAAGCTGCCAGCCTTACCCCTAGTATTAAAGGCTTCAATATAAACTTTACCTTGCTATAACAACCTATATTCCTGGTAGCGCTAATAGCGTTTCGGGTAAGGGACTAAAATTAGTTTTGTTTCTAAAAGCAAAATAGAAGATGAGATATTGTGTACCTCTAATTGGAAACACGGGACCAAAAAGACATATCAAGATGTTGACCGACCAGGGCCTGATTCGAACAGACGCCCCCGAAGGGACCGCATAACAAATTTAACGTTAATTCGAGTGCGGCGCATTAGGCCACTCTGCCACCTGGCCAATTGCTGTTGAGTTGCGGTTGTCCTTGAGAAACAAATATCGTGTTTAGAGGTGGTGGGGATGGTGGTGGCGGTACAGGGGCGCCAGTCTAGATTTGGGTTTACGTGCCACCAATGCTTCCTAAGAAAGCTTAGTTAAGTGGGACTTACCTGGATTAGTCTGTGCCCGCTATCACCTTCAAAGCAAGCTCTTTATGGTTAGGTACTTTCAGACACTGTGAATCTATGTCCTTCTACACAGAATCACATACAGGTAGAAAGCCAAGTAGTGAGTACAATGTGGGTATACACTAACTACTAGGTATCAATCGATACATAAGAACTTAAAGAGAAGAGCGGTATAACATAGATTCATGGCTGAGCTATATAACCTTGACCACAGCAGGTTTATCTTAACATGAGAGCTAGTAAGATAAATTAACGTGAGGTAAACGCATAAGGTACTCATGTGATTGCGTAAATAGCCAAGCCTATATTTATAGACAAGGGATAAAGGTTTATCCAAGACTTCAGTCCTAATATAAAGCCTGAACACAAAAGATCAAATGCTCTGCTACAGCAGGATCACAAGATAATTCTCGACACTTGCACACCTGCATAAATAAATATTCTATAGTGATAAACTTTACTATTGGGGCTCATAAACAGAAGAGAGAGGCTTAAATAACAATATGATATGCCGGATAAACACGATTATGTAGGGACATGCTGTGCTGGTCTAGGCGTAATTACTTTGCTTTTGTCAGGGTTTACACTTCCAGAGTAATGGAATAGTCCTACGCAGTCACGTAGCAAGTAGGTAGTAGGGGGTCAGTAGTCATGGACGTGTATTGGTATCCTGGTCACTAGTCCTCCTAACAGGTATTTGGGGGGATAGCCTGAATAGAGACAAAGCCTACTGGGTCTACACCAGGGTGATACCAAGCCGCCTGGCAAGAGGCCAACGAGATCAAGGGCTACTTACCTGGTGGCGTTTCTGATAGGGCTGCAGAAGTATCTCAGAAGCAATACTGGCGACAAGTAGACCCTGCCCAAGGGGAGCTCACAGAGGTCCTTGTTGTATGTCTTAACTGTAAGGAGACCACCTGACTGAACCGACATCCCATATATTCTTTACTAGGAGATGGCTACCTAATAGCTTAGCAGCAGGTACACTGTCATAAGTGTCCTCCGACAAGAACTCGTTTTATCCCAGTGGACAACTCTATTCCTTTTCGGAGATACGAGTCACTTCATAAATGGTATAAGAGACGTCACACATGAGGGCAGTGCACCAGTCCGAGGACAGGTGATTTTCTTCTTGATCCCGGTCTGGCTGAGGAGGGAGTGGCATATTATAGGTTTTTTCTTCTGAGACAGGGGCAAGGGAGCGCGGTACCTGTGCTTTGCTCAGCTTAGTGGAGACATGGAAGGAGAGGCATATTATGCTCTTGCTCGTGCTCTAGGCATCTTGGTATGCTTGAGGGAGTAGCATATTAGGGTCTGGTTCGCGAATCGTTTGGCGACCTGTGTCTTGGAGGCAGATGGCATATTACGCTTGTGCTCGTTGCTCTGGGAGACCTGGTATGCCAGTGGGAGTGGCATATCAGGGTCTGGTTCGCGAATCGTTTGGCGACCTGTATCTTGGAGGGAAAGGCATATTATGCTTGTGCTTGTTGCCGTGGGCGACTTGCTGTTCTGGTTGGTAAGTTAGTGATGTCTCTTACCTGAAGACCAGGGTTAAAGCGGACAGCAATGCCTAGGTAAACGTTTGACAATCTCGCTCCGCAAGGCGGTCCGAAGACCTTATATCTCAATCCCGATTGACTTCTCGCGGCTGTGCCGCTACTGCGGTCCATCACTCTACAACACCAATACCACAATCGCTTCCAATGATTGTCGAGAGCCCCGCAGCCTCCTAAATCTCGAAATCGCTGTCCGGTACATTCTTTGTTCATGCTACGGTTCAAAAAGACTTCAATGAGGGTATGCACTTGCCTCTATACAGAGAGTTCCTTTATCCCCTTGTATGTCCAATCGCCTAGCACGGCACCCCTTCACCAATACCATCAACGCAAGTTCAGCAGCCAAGACACAGCTAACAATCCTCCACAGCATCACTGAAGCAGACATTGCCTCTTTGAGCCACAAGGTAGCATGACACCGCAACAGCTCCGAAACACGAACTAACCAACTACATATATAGGCCCTCTCACAAGATCTCGTTAAGGCCGCCGAAAGGATCGGTATACTTCAGGAACGCACCAGTGCTTCTGCAGTCCCATGCAAGACTAAGACCAGCTGCCTGTCTGCGCTTCGTGGCGACAAAAAGATATCTTAAAACGCCGGATATTGTTTCTCTCTTGGACAACACTCGACGAATCTAAACCTCGCATCGAGAAGAAAAGATACACGACATAATACCAATGAACCCTATACGCAGTAGCAAAGCTCAGTCAATCTTCAAAGCTATAGTTAAAAACATGTCCTGTGAACATCCATGATAATCCGAGGAATAACGTAAATTGGGCAGAGCGAACAGTGAAAAGCTTTTTCAACATCTTAGGAAGAACATACGATACTCTAGACAGAGTCATACGAGCTTATTGCGAGACTTCTTGAAATATCGTCCGTTCAGCCTGTTCCTCGCCGACTTTATACGACCAGCAAGAAATCTCAACTCACATAACTTTCACAGAGTTATGAACTCATACGCCAAGACGGCTGTCAAGTGGATAGGTGATTCCCTAGTGTGTGCCTATCAGACTTCGTCTTTATATACAGGCTATCCCTCCCAACTACCAGTTCGAAGGGCTAGGGGCCATTTGAGCAATACACCTCCATGGCTACTGACCCCTTTCTACCTACCTGCTATGTGACCACATAGGCTGTCAATCCACTCTGGGATAGATACTCTTGACACTCAATGAAGATTAAGCGGTAGAGCAGAACGAAAGAAGTTAGTTCTCCTCAGTGAGATAACCATACACTCTGCAATACTTGACCTTGTGTTTCGTTACAGCCTACAATTAGATGAGAACGATACCCACACACCTACCTGGGTAGCTGCCAGTACAGCCACGCAGGAGCGAGGGTCCTGTCAGATAGATAGGTGACACCCTAGTGTGTGCCTATAAGGCTGGGTCTATATATACGGGCTATCCCCTCCCAACTACCAGTTGGAAGGGCTAGGGGCCATTTGACCAATACACCTTCATGGCTACTGACCCCTTTCTACCTACCTGCTACGTGACTGTAGGGCTATTCCATTCACTCCGGGACCGATAAACCTGACAGGTCCATGCGCAGAGCACACTGCGAGGAGCGATTGGTGGATGGGAAGGAGTTCAAGAGAAGGGGCTACATAGCTGGGTCGATCAGCCAGTGAGCTAGAGTCGGAAAGTTCGCAAGAAAATGTTTCGAGACAACACGCAATAACAGGTGACTTCCGCCCTACCCAAAGCATGAGGGCCCTGACACATAGAATCCACCGTCAGGGGTAGTCAGATACGCTGTCTCGTCATACACGCTGTTGGAAAAAGGCCACATATACACTACAGATGAACTTAGCTGGGAACGTTTTTACTTTCCGGGTCACACCCTCTCTACTCAGAAGGCCTCTCAGAAGCTATCTGACTAAAATACTTTATGGCACTGACCTCTTCTACCTACCTGCTATGTGGTCGATTATATGCTATTATTCATTCTGAGCTATCTACGCCTAGCAAACGATTGCATCGCCTGCTTTCCCACCATGGTCATCGCCGAGGATGAACTCCGCCCTCTTGAGTGTCACGAGAAGCCTTAGATCGCTCCCGGGTTTACTATCAATGATTCTATCGGCCATCCTCCGTATTTCTCGACAGCACTACTCCATAAAATACCAGAACGAGTGCCCACGAAGTTTCAACGGCTCCTACAGCCGGTATAGCATCCAGCATATAGTGAAGTGGTGTAGAAAGATCGCACATCAGCCCGGGGAGCTGAGGGGGTAGATGAGGATCTCTCCAGAACAACTGGTTTCGGACCATCGACTGGATTGCCTACCAATGGTTCACCAATTAACTATCTCGTCCTCGTATTCAAGCAGGGTTTTGTGAGGCATGTTGTAGAAACCATATGGTAATGCTTGGTAACAATTGTCGCTGACTGGGGCAAGAGCATAGTCGTGATCGAGGTGATTATGATTCTCTTAATGTTGCGCAGCTTGCTGTAAGCGTTCATGAGGCTCTCCTTCAGTCCTTCCCGGGTGCGGAAACATTGCTCATGAATAGCAACTGTCGTAACATCTCTGACTTGATGAAGTGGTTTAGTCTAGTAGAGCTCAAGCTCCTTCATAGTATGAAAATCGAAGTGACAATGTCATTCCGCCTGCTACGAGTCTCCTGAGCGAAATAGTCGTGATCATAGGAATGGTTTGGTACAGGATCTCGCTGCTGTTGATAAGTTGTTTTCTAATGATCCAACGATTTTCAGGAGCCTCGAAATGAGGATAACCTACGTTTCTGTCACTTTAATAAAGGATCGGAGGTTGGAAGACAGTCTCTACATCCGCAAGTGTTGCCGGTGTATATCCATCCGTATATGTCCGGCCAACTAGAAATGCGACACCAGTCTGAGCTTGCTCAAAATATTGATCAAACAGATCGTACCTTCCACTTCGCACGTGTCTGAATATTAATATCGATAATTGCACATCCACGCCTTATACTTGCTAGGAATGGTGCAATAGAGATAAGATTTGCCCAATTCTTATTTTTTGGACTCGGGGGGAAACTGCATGGCTTACACCCGAGCAAGTTTCTGGGTCACAGGTCCAGTACGGGTAGTAGTTCGACTTGATCGCATTGAAATCTATAGAATGAACTGCAACCATTCCTAGTCAATTGAGAAGAAATACATTCTCATTCAATTACAATTATATGTCTGTTTAGAGCGACATGGTCGAGTTTGAAGATGTTTGGTAAGTCGGGCTCGAAACCCAGTTGAGGTCATGAGTCGCTACCAGGGGGTTGCAATTCG